TTTTTTTTTTTTTTTTTTTTTTTACATACACACGTAGGTATGTAATTTTTTTGTATTGTTTTTCGGTTGACGTTTACGAGAGAGAGATAAGTCACTCGGTGGCGAGCGCGGAGTGGGTCGCCAGGGACGACCCGAAGGATATCGCTTAATCGTAAAACGGAACGAAAGAGATAGAAAAGAGCGAAGGACCGTGTAGTCTCGAGGGGATCCGTTTCTTTTTTCATTTTGCCTATGAATCGTTTCTACGCCTCTTTCTTTACTCGTTTTAGAGGTAATCCTCCCACGCGTCAGCCAATCTGTGATTAACCTGAAAACTTTCTTTCATTATCGAGTCAGTTTTAACGTAACATCGATCGTTTACCTTGTTCCCTTGTTTCAGATTTTCGCGATAATTAATCTCTATAAGAAATTTCATAATACTTACCTAGTATTAGTATTTTCGTGTAACGAAGAAAAATAAATAAAAAGTTCGAAGAAAATTTAAATAACCTCCTCCGTGCCGATAACGATTATTTTTGTTTTCGCACATTTTCGCACATATCGATCATAATACAAATATTGTACGAAAGAAGTAGTTTAAAAAATTTGTAGTAAAACACGTGTATATAGAAATTCTTGATATTTAGAAAAAAAAAAAATAAATAAAACTGAAAGAAAACTTCATTTTCAAACCCGTTATCGGCAATGAGATTTGAAATCGAAAAAAAGATTCTTCCCCTACGGATACACTCGAGACTAGGATAACAAGAAAAAACGAACAAAAAGCGCGAATAAAAGTCACAACCGAACCAAAACCAAAACCAAAACCAAAACCAAAAGGAAAATGAAGATAGAAAATCGCGTACGTAATCGCGCTTGATGAAGTTACGAATTATAAAAAAAAAAAAAAATAAAGAAAAGAAAAGAAAAAAAAGAAATCGATCGAAGACGGAGATAGAGAAGAGAGAAAGAGAGACAGAGAGATAGAAAGAGAGACGGAAAGAGAGATAAAGAGAGAGCGATACAAAAAAAAAAAAAAGAAACAGAGTGACGTCTCCGAGTGACAATTAATAATCATAGAATAAGAATAACACAGGTGAACGAAAATAATCGAAAAAATGATCGATCGAATAACATTTGAATAATTTGAAACGTAAATACGTTGCAACGTTACGTTACAACGAATATTCGTACTTAATTATTATTATTTTCACTCTCTTTTGTCTTTTATTTATTTTTTTTTTTCGTGTTTCATATTTTTTTCTGCTTTTTTTTTTCTTGCGCCGGTATAACAGTGATCTCTATCACGTTATACCACCCATTTCACGGTGTTCTCGATGCAAAGTGTGAAACACAAGAATGTAGTTCCTACTTACTGGAAAACAGCCCTTTTTTTTTTGTCATCATCAAATCCGAAGAAAGTAAATGGTGCAATGAACACAAACATAAACAATAAGAAATTCAAATTAGTTCCTTTACGAAATCAACCAATGCAGGCATTTGCATGCAAGCAAGAATGCGTTTAAAGAGGCATCAGGAGGAGAACAGGGTGACGTGAGTAAAGAAAAGAAAAGAAAAGAAAAGAAAAGAAAAGAAAAAAAAAAAGAATCAGATCGAGAAATAGAGATAGAAAAAAGAGATAGACTGAGAGAAAAAAGAAAGAGAGAAAGAGAGAGAGAGAGAGAAAGAGAAGAAGTGAATAAAAAAAAAAAAAGAGAGTAAGAAAGTAAGAAATCGAAGTAGAGAAGAGCTCGTGGGTCGGAGAGGATAGATTTGGAGGGTGACCGGAGTTACAGAGAGAAGGAAAAAAAAAAAATTATGACGACCCCTCGTCTGATTCTTTCGTTTTAACGACACTCAAAAACCGATGGACGTTTTTACCGTTTTTGTATTTTTATTATGTTTTGTATATTAGTTTTTTTTTTTTGTTTTATTTTATTTTGTTTTGTTTTGTTTTTTTCGTTACGTTGCATCGTGTGTTTTTTTTAGATCTGCATTATTCCGTATTTTTTTTTTTTTTTTTGTCTGTTACGACAATGGTATGCCGCCCCAATCACAGAAGAAAAAATGTCACACCACGGATGGATTTCTTACGGTTATTATTCGTTATTGCGCTCTCGGCAAAAAATGTCTCTCGTTTCTTTTTTCCGGTTTTTTTTTTTTTTTTTTTTTTTGGCTCATTGTCAGTCACGTCGTGGTTTGCGGGAAACAGAGAGGATGAAAGTAGGGAAACGAGTCGGAGGGGTTAAAGAGAAAAATTTGACGGAAAAAATACAAAATGCAAAAGAACACGAGAAAGAAAAGCAAAAGAATTGCTCCGTTACCGGAGAACGCAAAAGTACAAAAAGCGTTCGTTTTTTTTTTCTTTTTTTTTTTTTTTTTCCTCTCTTTTGACAAACAACAAAATGCAAACGTTAAAAAATATTTCTTTTCACCGATTTCATCCGTTATAAATATTCGCTAAAGTCAAAAAACAAAAAGAAAAATATATTTTCGCGAATCTTACATAGAAAGCAAAATGCAAGAGAAACAAATGGAAATAAGAGAAAATTTAGATGGAAAGATGGATGGTAGAAAAAAAAAAAAAAAAAAAAAANAAAAAGAAAAAGAAAAAATAAGAGAAATCATACCAGAAACGGAAAGAAAGAAAGAAATAGAATAGAATTGGGAAGGAGAGAGAGAAATATATATAGAGAGAGAGAAAGAGAGAGAGCGAGAGAGAGAGAGAGAGAGAGATTATCAGAGAGGAAGGGTTTAGGAGCGAGAGCGAGATCCGTTCCTGTAAAGGAATCAAAAACACATTCATATAAAATATTGCAAGCATTTTTCAAAAATTGTTTATGTCTGATGCACCACAAAATGCGTAGAGGTTGAAGTACACCGTACGTGGGGCTCAAAAAATGTCGTTCCCACCTGCTCCTGGAAGTTCAAAAAACATCACTTCCCTTTTGAAAAACATTCACATTAGTATTTTAAGTTAAGGAGAATTAATTAAGAGGTAATTAAAAAGAGTTGGGTCTCGTTCGTTTCCCTTCCTTTTTGCTCTGTTTGTTCGTTCGTTTCCTTCCCGGTGTCGTTTCTTCCGCGGCTCTCTGTATCACGCGTTATACAAAAAAGAGAGAGAACACAAAACGAAAAAAGAAAGTAGAGTAGTAGTATGAGAGATATAAAGAAAGAAAGGCAAAAAAAAAAAAAAAAGAAAAGAAAAGAAAGAAAGAAACAATTTTTCTCCTTGGCTAAGGTTGGAAAATAAAAAGTGCACGCGCTCTTGTTTATCACGGATCGTTTTGCCCGATACGCGAAAACGCGATCTTGATTTATCTTGTTTTTATTTTGAATTTTATTTCTTTTTTTTTTTTATTTAGTTTTTTTCTTTCTTTTTAATATTCCAACGAATCGACAACATATAACATCGGGGAACGAAAGGAGAATTTGAAAAAAAAAATGAGAAAAAATTCTCTCAAAATTTTTTAGAAAAGTCGTTTTGCCCGAGCAACGCGTTTGAAGGAACAACAACAGAAAAAAAGAAACAGATCGAACGGAATAGATTCGAGAAGGAACGATGTAACGTACGTTATATAAAAAACAAGGAAAAAAAGAGAAAAAATATATATACGAACGGTTGGTCGACGAGCGGACACGCGACGATGAATAAAAAAAAAAAAAAAAAATAAAAAAATAAAAAAAAAAACGTTGGAGACAAGAGGTGTATTCGATAGCTCGATTGGAACTTGTTTAAAAAGGTACTCGCGCCGCGAGCATATTCTCGACAGAAAGAATGAGAGAGACAGAGAGAGAGTGTTCTGTTGCAAAAATAGCCCGAACGGTCGATCGATTCAGGTACATGAAGCGTTTGAAGGAAATCAGGCATAGCTAAGTATTTACCATAGTGAACACATTGTGCATATCAATGGGAATTAAAAAGTTCTATACATGTGCCGTAAAAAGGAAACTCATTTCGTTGCATATTAGTGATAATCATAGAGAAATAATTGCCGACCAAAACGTATATTAATATTATACAAGTTATCCGATCAGCAACAAAACGGATTCGTGTTAAATAACGTAAGTCAACGTAAAAAACGTACAATATATAAAGATATATATGTATATATCGGCAGAAGGTGTACACTCAACTTTTGTATATTCGTATAATTTAGAATTATGTGTGTATATATATGTGTGTGTGTGTATGTGTGTATACACACACGCATATATTTATATATCGTTTAATATACACACACGCGTATAAGTACTGTATAACAAGTACGTATACACGCGAGCGTATATACTTATGTATATCTGGTCATAAGAATATTTTTGGAGAACGCAACGTGCATTCTCGGCTCGTTCATAATCGGTTCTTCGTTGATGATTTCTTTCTTTTTTTTTTTTTTTCTTTGGTTCTTTTAGATGAACCAACTCGTTAAAACGATCTTAATCGACGTCGTAAAAACAAAATAAGTGATTAGATAAGTGATTAGATAAGGTGGCGACGAAGATTGGTGGGTTGAAGATTCAGGCAGGATTCGAAGAACCGGATGTTTTTCTCGGCCGAGAAAACACGGTTGCGATCCTCCTAGAGAACTATCGTTGTTGTTACTGCTAAAGAGAGTCGTATATGTAAATTATCATCGAATAGGATGATACTCACGTCTAGAGGCTTCTTTAAGACGATCCAACCAGATTCTGGTTGGATCTCAAAGTACTCCAATCCTTGGTCATTGTTCGGAGAGCTCAACGAGTACGTTATGGCACCGTTATTATCGGCATCCTCGTCCGATGCCGATACTCTGAGAATGTTCGTTCCGATACTGGCATCTTGTTTTACATTCTCTACGTATCGCTGAAAATAGACGAGAATTTATTTATGGATTCTCTTTCTATATATATATATATATATGTGTGTGTGTGTGTATGAATGAAAAATGAACGACTCGTTTCGCAACGAGGCGATTCGAGAAAAGGAGGAAGAGGCTGACATATGGTGGAACGAATGATACGCGAACCACAAAGAGAGATCCCCTCTCTCTCTCTGTCCTCGTTTGTTTTCAACGAACGAAACAACATTGTTAATTTATTCCGTACAAAGTTCTCGTACAAAGTTGAAAATGACTCGGTCAAGCATCTTTTGCATTTCTTTCAAACGTATCCCCCTTTATGTATTCCCATATTCACCGGTTGAATTTCAAAGGGGCATCAAATGGCGCGATACAACCATTGCGAAATTCCCCTCCCTCTCACCGCCTCTTTGTTCGCTATTTTCGCTTCGACGATGAATATCAGGAAATTGTCGAAATGAGACGCGATACGAATGCAAATGAAACGAAAGGTCAAACGTGCACATATTATCGAATGCCATGGCTACGAACCTTGGCGTGTATCTTTACCTCTCACTTTATCACTATCTTTTTTAATCAAAAAATAAAAATTGAAAATTTTCGAATCGCGATTATAGATATAGATAATTCGTTTACAATGATGCTTATTAAAAAGCTTTTAACGTAAAACCAAAGCATTCCTTTTTAAAATACTTTTCCTTTGTAACCCTCGTTCGTGCATCTGGCTTACTAATCTAGCTTGAGCACTCGTCACGTGCAGTAGGTCAACAATTTTTTACTATTACTATCGACGTACGCATTTTTAGGGGAGAGGGAAATAGGTGATACGAGGGAGCGATCACATTCCAATAACATTCTTTAAAGTCTTATATCTCGATATTCGAAATCGATAACGTTCCTCGCTATCTTTCGAAATATCGGTAGGATAAAAACGATTCTGCTCACCTGACGATCGAACAACGGCGGGTTGTCATTGACATCGGTGATTTCAACGGTGAAGGAGCAAACACCCTCCAAGGAAGGTTCACCTTGATCCGTTGCTTTCACGGTAACGGATACAAATTTCCCGTCGTCTCCTTCGCGATCGAATACCTGAAAATATCGATACGATTTTACCATCTATCGTCCACGCGTTCGATCCAATCGATCGAAACGAGCGGTTTTCCATCGCGCGGAAAAGAAGAAAAAAATCGAAGGAAATTAGTAGGGAAACAGGGGGGGAGAAAATATGTGGAGGAATTCGTCCCTTTCGCTCGAAGGGAAATACCTTATTCGTCAAAACTTGGCCAGTCTCCTCGTCAACGGTGAACTTGGTTCCCTTCTGATTGGGCTGTTGGACGATCGAATATTTCACTTGCCCGTTCACACCCTTATCCTCGTCCGTAGCCTGGACTTTGATCACGGTGCTGCCGTTGGGCGCGCCTTCCTCCACCTTCGGATTGTACATGCTGCAATCCTTGAACACCGGTTTGTTATCGTTCACGTCGGTGATGAACACGACGACGACAGCGGTGCTGGTGTGGGTTGTGGTCTCCCCGTTGGGGCAACAAGCACCGTCGTCGAGGGCTGTCACGTTCAACTCGTACTTGTCCCTGTCCAGAGAGATCGCTTTCCCGTGAAGGCGTATCACACCTGTGATCTCCTCGATCACGAACTGGCCCGATGTCGTGTTGCCTCCGACGAATCGAAAGCGAACGTTGTCCCCGTCCTTGTCAGAGGCGACCACCGTCGTCACGAGCGTGTTCGGTCCCGCGTTCTCGTCCACGTTCGGTGTGTACACCTGTTGGGAGAACTTTGGCTCCTCGTCGTTCTTGTTCTTCGTGTATATGCGCACCGTCGCCGTCCCCGTTTTCGGCGGCTCCCCTGCAAAATTAAGCCTCGCTCAATCATCGCACGAGAGATGTTGTCGTATTGCGTAACAGATAAACGAAAGGTTACGAATAACGATGGATTCGAAGGAAATCGCCTTTTGCTTACCTTTGTCTCTGGCGGTGACGACGAATTCGTAATAAGCGTTGTTGTTATCCGCGTCGAGCTGCTTATTGTTCACTATGATCCCGCTCGAGTCCACGCTGAAGTGGTCGTCCGACACCAGATACTCTATTTCCGCGTTTGCACCGGAATCCGCGTCGGTCGCTTTCACTTTCAGTATACTTGTCCCCAACGATATATCTTCGTCCACGTTGTGGGCTTGGTAATCGGGCAATTCAAATTTCGGCGCATTGTCATTCACGTCGGAAACTCGTATGGTCAACTGGAAAAAGTTGAAAAAGTTGAAAATTTCGATCATTTCTTTCGAGTTAATTAATAATTTCATCCCATCATTTCCCCTCCTCCTCCCCTCCACACGTATAATTAATTTATTAATTAAAAAGGATAATACTTTTGTTTACCTCGATGCTCAACGTTTAACGATAATTTATATATTTACACCTAAATACGTATCCTCGTTTTCGATCGTATCGTTAAACTTGTATCGTTTAAATAACAAACGTACGAGCGATAATTTATCCGCCCAAAACTTTCCAAATATTCGTATTCGTATTCGTATCATTTGTAATTTTCATACGAGATAATCGTCGTTTAAAAAAAAAAAAAAAAAAGAGAGAGAGAAATTGACGGATATGGCAAATGGTAACGTATCGAAATGTACCTCAACGGACGTAGAGAAACCACCCGAATCCTCTGTGGCTGTAACGATAAGGGAGTAGATGTGCGGTTGACGAAGATCCTCGAAATCTAATTCCTTCGCCAATTTTACAATGCCGGTGGTCGGCCCGATATTGAACGTTCCAGCCGCCCCTTGCCCTTGTGCCTTTAGGGTGTAACGAATCTCACGGTCGGCGAACGACTTCGCCTTCACCGATATGATGCTGAAAATGTAAAAATTGGTTGCCTGTTAACGGGAGATCGCGGGGGAAGGGAGAGGAGACAACTCACTCGGAGTCCTTCTTCTGGTTTTCCGGTATCTCGGCCTCGTACGCGGTCATGTAGAATTGAGGCGCCCGTTTCCCACCTACGATCGATAGTCGTTCCTCGGGAGTCGACTGATAACGCCTCTCGTCTATGCGCCCGTTCTGGTCCTCCGCTTTCACGTACAGAACGTATTCCATGTCCAACTGAAAGAGATCGGTCCCCCGGGTGCGCACGACACCGGATCGCTCGTCTACCTCGAAACGGCCACCGGCTGCAAACCGAAACGTATTATCGTTCCTTCTGAGAGCGATGTGTTTCGCGCGGAAATCTCGTGTATCTCAAACCCATGATGGCAAGACGCGTTTTTGATCGATCGAAAGCGACCGATGATGACCGATTTTGCGCTTCGATTTTTTTTTTCTTTCAAGATTTTACATTCGAAGAATAAAGCGCAAACTCTTTGAAATTTTTGAAGTTTTGAAAGAAATAAAAGTACACTTGATCGAAGGGTGTCTCGACACAGCCGTGATGAATCGTAACGATGGTTAATTAACGATCGAAACGTTGGAGCATTTGCACGTTTTCATCACGGGGAATAATGGGAATAGATATCGCGTACAAATGTAATATCGAATTCATACGTACTCCGATCTCGTACGATGAAGTAGTGAATATTGCTGTCAGTGTCAGGATCCCTTGCTTGAAGGGTAAACACGTGGGTATTCGGCGGTGCATTCAGCTGTACGACCGTTTGCATTGGCAGAGGCCGATTTATGAAGTACGGTGGCTCGTCATTAACGTCCTTCACGTTGATAATGACACGCTGATTGTCCGTGTCTGTAATCGTCCATCGATTTATCGATTAAACCACGCATAAGCGATCCCCTTCCCCATCGACAGAAAACGGTGGACGGTGTTCAAAGGCGGTGACCGGATACCGTTTGACATTATCTCGTCTCACGCTTTCACCTTTGGCCTGTTAAATCTAACGCGACCGCTTTAAATGAAATTCCGCCGCTATATATCAATCTCTACCTTATACCGTGTATCATCCGTGTGTATCGTCAATTTTTTCGAATCATTCCAACCGGATTCACCGGATTGAACAAATTTCATCCTCGTATCTCGAGATTATACGCGTATCGATTTTCAACGAATTTTCGCCTCTACTTTCAAAAAAGTACTTTTATTATTTTCTTCTTCTATTTACCTTACCTGCGTTTGATAAACGTCATTTCGAAGTTTAAAGTGTTCGAAGAACTTTTCGAAAATTGATCTCGATCGGTATCCGTCGTTTGAACAACTACATCGAAAAGGAGATTTTTTTCTTAATTTTTCCTAACGATCGATCCACGTATTTCCACGACACTGATTCCTTTCGATTTTCTCGTCGCGTAAATATCGAAATATGCTACATCGTATTATAGTTTGAAAGGTTTGAAAGATATTTAGATCGGGAAATTAAGAGCAAGTTTGACGAGAAATTTTTAGGAAATTGGTTCGGAACGGCGTTAAAATCTTATCCAGGCCGAATCGCTACAGCGTCGAAACATTCTGTCGGCGAAGCTCGATCGAGGAAGGAATTCGGTTTATTAACTCCCATCTTCCACCGTCATCGCCCATAAACACTGTCGACCGAACGGAACAGCGCACTCCACCACTCGACAAGCGTTCCGAATAAGCGTTTGATGCAACAACGACAAACCAAAAAGAGGATATAATTCCATAATTCTACGCGCGAATTATTATTATAAAAGCTGCGCTCTTTCATCCATCTATGCGCACAGCCAGAGAGAGAAGGAAAAAGAAACAGAAGGATCTTGCTTCTACTTACATTGAAATCCTGTGAAAGCCAAAGAATGCGGGAAAGAAAGAAAAAACATTGGTCGTTAATCATAGTGAAAGCGTGGATCGACGATTGCGAACACACGGCAAAAGGAATCGTCGATCGGTCGAGAAGAAAAGAAAAAACAAATTCTAAAGAAAAAAATATTAATCGCGTCGAAAATTGGGACGAGGTTAATAATTTGGCGAGCAACCCGCTTACCGAATAACGTCACCGCAATACGACATAATTTAATTCCTTCCGGCCCCTTCGTGCGTAACACGCGTCCCCGCTTATTTTTTCCGGTGAAACTGTAATTAGCGCTCGACCCGCCCCCGCTCTGCTAAACCACACGTTCGAACAATTACCAGTTCCGAAAGGAAATTGTATCCACGTGCGAGCTCAACGCTCGTCGGAACGTGTCGTTCGTTCGTTCGATTATTAGCGTGAAGAACGACACTACTTTCGCGATTTTCCACTTTACAACATCTTTTTCACCCCACTTTTTTCTTTTTTTCTTTTGAAATTTGCAAGAAGGAAACGAGACGAGGGGGGCGAAGAGGCGAAAGTGACAGGACTGCGGTGCTGCTTTCCAAGGAAAAGAAAATTATATAGTGTATATATATGTATATAAAATCGTAATTGTGTACCGTGGTATGGACACTGGAGATACGACGAGTATCGTGCGCACCGTTCTTCTGCCACGAGTAACAAAATAAAAGGATTAATCGAAGGATATAAACGAAAACGATAATTTTCTACTCGTCGTTCGAATCGATTCGAAGAGTAAAAAAGAGAGAAAAAATAAAAAAAAAAAAAAAAAAGAAAGAAAAAGAACGCGCAATGAAAAAGTATATATATATATATATATACGAGATATTCGAAATGTTTTTACCTGTATTGGTAATAGTCACCCAAAAATCAATGGTCTTTTCCGAACCCAGCTCCTCGTAATCCCATTTCTGCTTCACTATAACCGACCCGTTCGAGTCTACCGTGACCCACTTGTTCTCGTCCCTGATCTTGTACGTCTCCTTCTCGTTCTCCTTCTCCAGATAGAACACGATCTTTCCTTCGACGTCGCCGTCGGCCTCCGTGAAGTCCACCTTCTTCGTCGGTCTGACAGCCCTGGTCACCCTCCTCTTCCGTATCCTGTGCACCTCCACCGACTCCTCTATCGGGTCGGACGTCAAGAACCTGACGACGACTTTGGCCGGCCTCTCGCTCGACCTGCTAGGGTTGCGCACGTCGTGCGCCTCCACGACCGCCACGCACTCGCCGTCCTCCTCCATCCCGACCTCCGGCTCGCCGACCAGCATCAACTCCCCCGTCTGCGGCACGACGACCAACAGCCTGCTCGGCGTCGCCAATTTGTACGCGACCCTGTCCCCGTCCGCGTCCTTGGCCACCACCTTGCCCACGGTGGAGAACCGTTTCCAACCCGCCGCCGAATTCCTCCCGACCGCGCTTCTCTCGCTCGGCCTCGCCTCGAACGTGTACTCCTCCCTCTCGAACACCGGGCTGTTGTCGTTCTCGTCCAACACCCGCACCACGCCGTCGATCCGGGAGCTGGTCAACAGATAACCGTCCGAGGCGTGGATCGCCACCGCGTACGCCTTGCTCGCCTCCCGATCCAACGGTCTCGCGGTCACCACCCGCACCCCTTCCTTCTCGCTGGCCAGCGTCAGGTTGAATCCAGTCCGGTTCGAGTCCTCCTCCCTGAGGGCGAACGGCCTGTCCCCCGCCTCGTCCGCAAGGATCGCGTAATGAACCGGGAAGCTTCCCCGCGCCCTCAGAACCGGGAACCCCTCGACCGGTGTGCCCGCGCCTCGATTCTCCCCGACCTCGCCCTCCCCCAAACGATCGTGGGAGAAGGTGATCATGTTTCTTCGATTTATCACGTAGAGGTGAAGGAAATGGGTCTCGGTGGCGTTGGCCAGCTCCTCCACGACCATCAGATTGACGGGGCGGTCGACGAGCGGCGACAGGTCGGACGTGGTCATCACCAGCCCGTTCCCGAGCACGGTGAAGAACTTGGAGAAATTGTTCTCCATCAGGCGGAAGTTGGAAGGCCGTTTCGTGTTGAGCAACGTCACCTCGTAGCCCGGGTAAACGTCGTGGGGGAGGACCACCACCTTGTCGCCGTCCACCCTCTCCGTGGCCGCTAGGAGGGCCGCGACCACCAGTACGCGCCACATCCCGCTGTCTTTTCCTTTCTCTCTCTCTCTCCCTCTCTCTCTCTCTTCTCGTCGTCCGCACCTCTCTCACGGTAGATCCGATCTTTCACCAGAGCATGAGTGCCGACCCCATCTGAAACCAACGATTCAACCCGATCATTTTTCCATTTCCTTCTCGATCGCTTTCCACGATTTCGAACAAGCGTTCCAAGGGAACGTTTGCGTTGAAACGGACGAGTTATCTTGCCGAACACCGACAAGGCAAGACCAACGACGATAAATTATTTCCACGACCATAATCCGCCGCCGGCTGATTCGGATTTATGCCTCTCTTTAAACGGATCGCGCCTCTTCCCCTCCGTGGGAATAAAACTGTATCAAACAACGCCATTTCCCATACGCTTGTCCAAGTTGATCGCGTGATGAACGTGACGATTATCAAAAAGTCGCGAAACATTTTATCACGATTATTGCGAAATAAAACGGAAAAATAACGATATTATAACTTCGAATATCCAGCGTTCGTATGTATATTATATTTTTAAAATCGTCCGAATTGAAAGGCGAGTCGAACCGCGAGTGGAGTCACGAATCAACAGAATTCGTGCTATTCCGATCGGCGTTTCGATCCTCGCCTCGCTTATCGTATCCCATATGAAATTCCACGAGCTCGATTTTATGCTTGCCATTCGAACAACGGAGATACCTTTTATAAGGAAATAAAATATCGTTTAATTATTTCCAATCTGGTTAATCTCAGAGATATCTCAAAAGATTTCCAATACAGTGTTTCGATAACATTCTCTCTCTCTCTCTCTACATCGCACCAATTTCTGTTCAAAAATAAAGACGACGATACATCGCTTCCGTTTCTTTCTCTTTCTTTCACCACGTGGAAATCGTCGCCATCTTGCTTAAACACCGCGAAAATAAAATTATTGAGAAAAGAAGGGAAAGAATGGAGGAACCATTGTGCGAGGGATTGGACACGCGTTGAGAAATCGAAAGGGTGAACGGCGGGGAGGGAGGGAGGGAAAATGTCTTCTTTCTCCTTTTGTGCATCTTCTTTTTTTTTTTTTTTTCTTCTTCCATCGGGAACCGTTTCGAACTTAAACGAGCCGCGGCTGACCTCACGTCCGGTCCTCTCCGGCCCGTGAATAGAATCAAATGGAACGGAGGGCTTACTAAATGACAATGGTCAACTCGTACGCGCCGGTTCTTATTTCCGGTGCAACGTTGCGGACATTGTTCATCGAGTCGGTGTCTCTCCGCCGCCCAACCAACCGGCATTGATATTTCCAACGACGGAAAAAAAATAAAAAAAGGAGAGAGACAATGACGCGATGATTGCAATTTCTTTTCACGCGCGCGTTCTTCTCTTCTCTCCCTCTCTCTCTCTCTCTCTCTCTCTCTTCGAAAAATCGTCGCCGATAAATCACTTTACGCGAGACGAAGTTACGAAGTGGATATTATATTTGGAGGGGGAAAAAATGGACGATATAATGGAAAAATCTCGATTGGATTGAAATATCGGTTTTCGATTCTAATTGCTCCATTGAAATTGTCCTACGATCGTACGACGCGAGAGCTATCGATAAAGATACGAAATAAGCGAATAATTGCGAATATCCGCGATATTGGGTGTCTAGACGTTACGCCCGGATCAATTTGTTTGAAATTAGATATACAGCTCTCTCCAACCGACTATAACATTCCGTAACGTTAAATCGTGAAACACTTGGATCGCATCGATTCTTTTCTTTTCTATGTTCGAACGTTCGTTCGAACGAAAGAGGCGAGGTTTTAATCGGAAAAGGATGAAGCAGCAGGAAAGGTCGCATTATCCGCCCCTGAGAATCAACCACGTCGCAATTCGCAGCGAGAGCAGATGCCGTGGGTCGAGCCGGGCATTATACGGTTAAGTCGAGAGAAACGCGACACCCGATCCCTCCACGAAACGTATTAAGTGACTGCCCCCGGTTGGGAGACCAGTTCCACACAACCTCGAGCATGGAAAACGATACATCGACCTTATACCCTGCGCCCTTTAAAGCAGAAAAAAAATGACGGGATCTTCGATGTCGAGATGCACTCGTGAACAACGTCCGGCTTCCTTCTTAGAAAACAAGCTTCTTTAGATTGGAACGCCGCTTTGTAAATCGTTTTCCCAACATTCTTTTTCGTAGAAATTACTTCTTTCCCCGTTTCGAAGTCACCGAGCTAGAATTAACATTTCGTTAATTTTATTTTCATTGTTCACAGATTCGTGCGATAAAAGAAAGTTGAACGATAACTCTATTCACACGAAAACAAAAGTTTGGCTGAAAATATTCCACGCGACACGCTTTTCCGAAAGTTCAAAAGTTCAAGAGTATAATCCGTGTAATTATTCATTCTGGGTAAATCGAAGGTGGAAATCAAGCTTTTTGAACGAAACAGATTAAGTTATTAGGCGATTACGCGAAAATACTTGCGAAACGCCGCCTCTGATAGATCCCTTCCTCCCCCCCTCGTAATTTTCCAACCTTTTCTTCGCCCTTCGCGAACCTTGGATAACTTTTTATTCTTCCCTCGAGGATCGTAAAAACGTCGAAAACGATAATCCATGAAACGCGCCCGTACTTATGTAAATAACCTCGTATTCGGAGAATTCGGATTTAGATCTCTTGAGAAGGGGAGGAGATCTTCTTCTTCTCCTTTTCTTCTTAATCAAACTTTTTCCCATACATTTTATATATGTTCGCGATTGTTTCAACGTATAAGGAAAATATTTCGTTTCCATTAAAGCGATCGCTGAAGCGATTATTCGCAATCGTTCGTCGTTAAATATGAATTTTTGAAATAAAATTACGAGACTCAAATTCTCTCCAGTTTATTTTTCATTTTTCTTCCCAAAAGATATTTCGACGAGGGAAATAACGACGTAAAAAATTTATTCAGTCATACTTGTCATTCCGTTAATTAAACATTTCTCCGCGTATAATTAACGCGTCACGCTTCGGATTATTTACGATTTTCATTCGAGTAGCGTAATTACGAAGATGGAAACGGAAGCACGATGATTAATGTTCGTTGCAATCACGTTACAAATGATAATCGCTAAAAAAAACCACGATATATCCTTTTTATTTTCTTGATTAATCGCCAACAAAAATTCTATTCTTTTTTTAATCTCCGATTAATAAATAATATAAAATTCGAAATAAATAACTTTCGCGAACGCTTCTTTTTGACGGCGAAACGAAAACGAAGATACGCAAGGATGCGATGTAGCGAACAGGAGACGATAAGTTGATACCGGACATTAAAAATTAACTAAAGAAAAGGCCGAGAGAAAAGAGAAAACGAGAAAGAAATTAAGCGATCCGCTTATAAGCCATATTACCAAACCGAACGTGTAGTCTTTTTCTTCCGAGCAACTCGTACTAAATCGTGACGTAAGCCTATTAACGGCCAACCTTTATCCCGGACTTACACCACCATGAATTTGCGTACGCAGGCCCGCGCCATTTCATAACGCTCGATTTTATTCGACATAGTCGCAAGATGAACGATTCCATCGATTAAGAAAGAGAACAACAACTCTATTTCCTACATTTTCGTTCTTCACGAAAGATAGGATCGACATACCTCCTCTGAGCTAAAACTTGAACTAACCATCGAGAACCTGTTCTTCTTCGAAGATCGGCAACCTCGTAAATCCGCAGAGAGAGACCAACGATAAATTCTAACGATAAATCGTTTCGAGACAGAATATAATTATCTTCGATATTTCTATCCGAATCATCCGCTCTTTAACGTTAGACTAAATATACAAAAATATACAAGAGAGAGAGAGAAAAAAAAATAAATAAAGGAAGAAGCTACACTGGATAATTTAAAAGAGCCAGTTCGTGGAAGAATAAGAAACATCCGTTTGATCCTTCGAATCAAGATTTGCTTCGAAGATTTAATAACCGAGCGGAGACTAAATTATCATCGCGAAACTTTCGATAGGGAATCCGATCCACAAACGCGAGATGCACGATTCCTGCCATATGTCTGCCTCTCGCTAGGAGAGAGCCGACCGACAAAATATTTGCCGTGCGGTGATTAATGCCTTACGATTCACCATCTCCTCCTCCATCTTCGTCCGTGCGAAAACATTCGATTCGAGAGCTACGCTGTAGAAAAAAAATTGTTCCACGATCCTGTTATTAATTCCAAACGATGAGTTTACGATATTATTCGATCCTCGTATTTGGGAAACAATAATAATATAAATGGAATTATTAATATAGTTCGCGTTGAAGGGAAATTTTAGAATCGATATTTGATTTTCCACGGAAATTTTAGACGGAATAACACCGATCGATAATAAACGCGTTGTATCGTAAGAAATTTAAATTTACAGTTTTTCGACAAGGGGGGCGAAACTTTGCGATCAAACTTAACGAACGATTTATTTCTCAAATATTTCTCGAATATTCAGATTTTTTTCCTCTGCATTTTGCACGCGTTATATTAGATACATTGGCGAAGAGAATAACAAAAAAATCCGTTGATTCGGCAAACAATGTACGAATATTCGATTAATCAACAGTGAATATATTAGCGCAACATGGACACGAAGGACAAACAGCGAACGAAACATCAAACCTTCCGTTTGAGTAATTAAAACAAATCGATCATACACGTGTTTTGGACAAATAATTAATTTCTGGAACGAAATGGTAACGCATTAAAAGCGTTAAAAGTAAATTATTCCCTGGATTTGAAATTGCTCCTTCCTTCTGCAATTTTCTTTTCCTTTCCTTCTCCTTTTTCAAATTTCATCGTTCACGATGGCGATGTTCGAAAAGGCTTTCCTTCCAAGATTTTCATCCTAAAAGAAATTCACGCGTATCGCACGATACACCTCGAAACTTTCATTGCTGTGCATATAATTTCCAGGCCAGAAACAATTAATTAAGAATCGACGAACTCGAAAACGCCGAAAGAAAGCACGTTTCCCACGGAAAAAACTAGAAAGCTTTCCTTCGAACGACATTTTTCGTTTTGACTCGAGGGAAGAGAAAAAGTAATGGACGCAAAGCGTTAAAGTGATCAAATACAACAATGTTAAACGGATTCTTCAGAATTTCGTAGCAAAAA